ATTTTTTTAAACATTAATTATGTAATTAACACTTGAAATTTTCATTCTTATCATTAATTTATTATTTACATTACAAAATTAAGAAATGACCTTGTATCTTGAAACTATTGACATTTTTAAAGATATAAGCTCACTCTGACATTACACTCATCGAGACCTTTCATTTGAGTAGCCACATCAATTTTTCATATATTTCATGTATCTATATATACTATATATATGTATATATGAAAAATATATCAAAAATTCAAGTGGGTACTCTAATGAAAACTCTTGATGAGTGTAACATTAAGATGAGCTTATATCTTTAAAAATGTCAATATTTGAGAAATGACCTTGTATCTTGTGAACTATTGACATTTTCTATGATATAAGCTCATCTCGATGTTACACTCGTCGAGACCTTTCATTTAAGTAGCCACATCAATTTTTCATATATGTATATATGTATATATGAAAAATATATCAAAAATTCATGTGGGTACTCAAATGAAAGCTCTTGATGAGTCTAACATCAGGATGAGTTTATATCTTTAAAATATAAATTTTATAAATTACATAATTAAGAAATGACCTTGTATCTTGTAGACCATTGACATTCTTAACGATATAAGCTCACTCCGACATTACACTCATCGAGACCTTCCATTTGAGTACCCACATCAATTTTTCATATATTTTATATTTTATATATTTATATATACTATATATATGTATATATGAAAAATATATCAAAAATGCATGTGGGTACTTAAATGAAAGCTCTTGATGAGTGTAACATCAGGATGAGTTTATATCTTTAAAATCGTTTATAGTTAAAAAAGTACAGTGCAATTTAACAAAATTCATTATTTAATAATGCAAAATTTTAATTATTTATAGTTCACAACGGCAGTCACGTAGAGACTGCAAGGTTGTTAGTAATAATAATAATAATAATTTTTTAAAATAAAAAATTGTCAAGTTATTATTTAATAATAACTTTACTAAATTTAATATCAACAATAATAAAATTGCATAACTGATAAAACTACTAAAGTAAATAAATAAAGCATAAAAAGCGTACATACAACAGGAAATGGTTTGTCAACGGTCGTTGTCTGATTCACATTCGACCTCATGCCTCATGCTCTGTTAAATACCAACATTTATTATTATTATTATCATTTATTAACCCGGGTGGCAAGCCCCCATACAAAGTCATTTTTTTTTCTTTTTCTGGCGCACATACATCTAACTTTCGCACATCTTATTACATCACACATTCACAAATATTCCACATACATACTATTATATATACTTGTATGATAATACCTAATATATAATAAGCCATAGTTTAACTTAATATAAGCCACATGTTTTATTTTATCGTCGCACATATAATATATATGTGTGTATACCTATATAACAGTATATATTTAGGTATTTAACCTCGCACACTTTAAATTACACAATGTATTATTTTACAAGTGTATTAGTGACCAACTGTCATATTTAAGTTAAATACATATTTATATATTTATATATATCTATTGATTTAGTCAAATATTAGAAATTTTATTTGTAAATAAATATTTTAAGTTATTTCTATTGTAAGAATTTATCAGCAATTTTATTATAAATTTTATTTATTTAATGAAGAATTTTAAGAAAACTTAAAATTCTACTCCAAATTTATAATACTAAAGTTAGCCGACATTTTTAATTTTTTAATTATTTTCTATTTATTAAATAAAAACTAAAAAATATTTTTAAAAAATTGCACTGATAGTTTTTCAAGTTTTTTACAAGTGAAATTTTTTATTTTCTTTTTTTTGTAATAATTTTTTAATAAAAAAATTTCTAAAAATTTTTGTAATAAAGTTAAATTAATTAATTTAGAACTCTAAATTTTTTCAATGATTTTATTAATTAGAAAAAAATTAAAATTATTTAATAAGATTAATAAATTAATTTTTGAACAAAAATATTTACAAAATAATTTTTTTAATTTTCAAATTAAAACTTAGTTTTAATTTTAAAAAATTAGTTAAAAAAAAAAATAATAATAATAATATTAAAAGATATAAAGTATAAAATTTCCAACGGTCTTACTGATATTTAACACGACCTCTCTCATCTTCTCAATTTCTCATTGGCCCTCATCATATAATCCCCGCAAAATTTATACAATTAAGCCCTCATTTCCTCTGCACTCTTAAAAAAAAAAATCACCTAACTCTTCAAATCCTCCATAAGTACCAAATATTCACAAATTTATATTTAAAAAAAAAAATTACCAATAAAAAAAAACTTAAAATTTGCACACAATTTTTAATCAATTAATTAATAATATTTAGTTTTTAATTTATCATTAAAAAAAAAAATGATATTATAGTTAACAGTCACTTGACCAATTTTTAATTTTTTCTTAACAAAAAAATTAGAAGACAAATTATCTGCCAATTTTTAGAATTTTTCTTGTTAAAAAAACAAAAATAAAAATTTTAGATCAAAAAAATTTTAAAAACTAAAAAGGATAATTTTTTAAAAATAATTTTTAAGTTATAATTTAATAAATGACAAAACATTAAAAAATTTATGAAAATTAAGTTAGCCGACATTTAAAAATTAAAAAGAATTTTTTTATTGAAAAAAATGACTACAAAAAAAAAAAAGAAAAAAAAATTGTCATTTGTTAAAAACTTTAAGTGTAATTTTTTAAAAATATTTTTTTTTTCTAATTTAATTATTAAAAAAAAAATCAAAAAATTAAAAACTTCGGCTAACTTTAGTATCATAAAAATTTTTAATCGTCAGCTGATTTTATGAAAATTCTTATAATTTATTTTATTAAAAAATAATTTTTAAAAAATTAAAATAAAAATTTTCACAGGTAGAAAATTTTAAAAATTATCCGTGGAATTTTTTAAAACTAGATTTTTATTTCTAATTTTTAATTAAAACAAAAATTTTATGAGTGTCGGCTAACTTAATTTTCAAGCTGATTTTAGTATAAAAAAAAAAGAATTTTTAATTTCTGTAAATTTTTTTTTTATAATATATTTGTTAAAAAAATTCTCAAATCACCAATTATCTGCAAAATAAATTTTAAAAATAAAAAAAAAAAACGACAAAAAAACTCCCTCAAAAATATCATCTACATTTCCCGCCATTTTTCCTCGGACATTTCCCTCAATAATTTCTAACCCATTTATCAATATTTTTCTTCCAACTATTTACACAAATAATTACCAAAATCTTTATTGATGATTCATAAATTAATGACAACCACTAACACTCACTGACACTTACTCTACACACTATTTATCAGCTATCAACTGTCACTATTTAATTTAATGCTGTCACCTTACCTTGAAACACCATCCAGCTACCAGCAATATAATCCTCTTAAAATAAAATTAGCACCCAGGATTTTTTTTCATCAGCCAGCTGAAAGATAAATCCTATTAATATAATCAATTAATAATAAATAATAAATAATAAATAATAAATAATAAATAATTAATAATAAATTACTGATCAAATATCTTGACCAACATATCAGCTGTCACAATTAATTAAATCAATAAAATAAATAAATTATTCTTTTATTTATTTATTTAATATATTAATTAATATTTAATAATTAATATTGACTTACTTGAGACAAATAAAATAAACCTGGAACTCGAAACAAAGCAACGTCTGACCACGTCCAGTCTCTGATAGCACATTCACTAGCAAATTATCAAATGGGCGGTATTCGCGAGACGACACCTACAACTTTTCCTCACTAAATTAATAAATTAAAATGACTTTCTGATTTTTACTACTGCGCAGGCACGAAAATAATTAATTTATTTATTTAATAATTAATTAAGACTCAATAATTATTTATTTACTAATTTATTTAATTATTTTTCAGCAACTCGAGCTGTGCCCAGTAACGAGCACTTCTTAAATGATTGGTTTAGTTTTTTCACTGTGGTGGCGCCACTAAGCGGTTCTTTTGAATTTTTATTGGCTGTTAAATTTTAGCGGGAAATTTTTTTTTTAAATTTCTTTTTTGAGTAATTAATTAAAATTTTTTTTTTCAAATATGACATTAAAGTTAGCTTAAAAAATTTTTTATTTTATTTAACAATTAAATTCTAAAAAATTACTTGTAAAAAATTGCATTTTAAATTTCTACATGTCAATTTTTTTTATTTTTTTTTTGCGGTTATTTGTTAATTTTCATTCAAATATTTTAAAAGAAATTTTTTTTTTGTGTAATTAACAATTTTTTTTTTTAAATAATTTTTTGGAATTATTTTGGCGGGAAAAATATTAAATTTGAATTTTTTTAATAAATTTTTTAAAATTGTTATTTTATTAGTTTAAAAAAATAATTATAGGTAATAACATTTATATACAAATATATATATTTATAAATATATATTTTTTTAATATTGATAAATGATAATTGTTATTACTTAATAAATAGTTTATAAATTTATCATTATATTGCTGAATATTGTGAGCGTATAAATTATTGATATTTTATTTATAAAACTCATTATTAATAATTAGTCATGATAAAAATATATCATTAGTACTCTAGAAATTTTTTTTTTTTTAATTTAATAGGAGTCTTAATTTTTTTGTTCGCATTTTTAAAATTTGTAAAATAATTTTTTTTTATTAAAATTTATAATCAAATAATTTTAAGTGTTAAAAATACTAATTAAATTTTTTTTTCTTTAAATTAAAAAATTAAATTTTAGAAAATTTATTTTTATAAAATTAAATCAATATTTAATTTAATTTAATTAATTATTAAAAAATTAAATTTTTCTAATTTTTTTTTTCACATTAATAAATTATAAAAATTTTTAAATTAATTAAAAAAAAATTGTTTTTCACTCTTTTTTTAGCATTTTTAACACAATTAAAAATTCTGAATTTAATTAAAAAAAAAAATAAATAAAATCTAATTTTCTTAAAGCCTCATTACACTTTTTAACTAAAAAAAAAAACTAAAAAACATTTTTGTTCTCACAAGAATCACTGATAATCGTCGACCTTGAAATATTTTTCGACAACAATTGATTAGTTTTAACACTAGTCAATAATCCTTTAGGCTTCGGAGGCAACGGAGGCGGCCTGGACAGCTTCGTCGGAGACGTAGCCGGAGAATCCATCACTCCTAAGGAAGATGTCGAGGTCGACGTGGACATCGGGGACATTGACGTATTAGCGATGGAAGATAGTTCGATACTTTTGTCGATGATTGTTTTGTCAGCATCTTCCAAGGTCACGTCCAGGTTCAATGAATTGTCCAAGCTGGATTTGTTCGTTGAGATTATTGATTGAGATTGTTCCTGTGGTGGAACTGATGGTAGATTGCGGGACTCATTTATCATCACTCGATTTGCTATCGAGCTTTCGGTGAAATTTGATGGTGGGTGTTGAGTCTTTTCAGGTATCGAAACGTCGTTGAAGAATTTAGAACTTGAATTGTCGCAATTTGCTGATACTGTCAGTCTAGCACGCCGTAATTTTTTTTCATCTTTACTTTTACTGTTTTCTTTATCCTGTAAAATAAAAAAAAAGTTAGTTTAATATTTTATATTTTATTCATCATAATATTGATATTAATATTCATCATGATATTAAGAGTGATATTCATCATAATATTAATAGTGATATTTATCATGATATTGCTATCAATATTCATTATAATGCTGCTATATTAATGATATTCATCATGATATTGATAGCGATATTCGTCATCAATTGATAGTGATATTCATCATGATATTGATATTCATATTTATCATGATATTGATATTCATATTTATCATAATATTAATGGTGATATTTATTATGATATTGCTACCGATATTCATGATATTGATATTCATTATAATGCTGCTATTATTAATGATATTCATCCTGATATTAATAGTGATATATATATATCATGATATTCCCATCGATATTCATCATGATATTGATAATGATATTTAATATGATATTGATATCGATAGTGATATATTCATCATGATATTAATATCGATATTCGTCATAATATTGATAGTGATATTCATCATAATATTAATAGTGATATATATCACGATATTGCTATCGATATTTATTATGATGTTGATAAGGATATTTTATTATGATATTGATATTGATAGTGATATTCATCATGATATTGTTATCGATATTTATCATGATATTAACAAAAATATTCATTTTGATATTAAGAGTGATATTCATCATGATATTGCTAGTGATATTCACTATGATATTGATGATATTATTAAATTATTGACATAAATAATCATAATGATCTAAAAAATTATATTCATCATGATATTGACATCAATTCTAAAATTGATAATATTTATCATATGATATTCATTACGATTTCATGATATTCATCACATTAATGCCATAGATAAAAATATCATCAATTAACTATTCTAATAATTCATTAATTTAAGTTCCAAATTAAAATAGTCCAATACTTATAAAATTATCTAAATTTTTAAAACCAAAAAAAATTAACCTTTAAAAAATCAGGAAGTTCAAAATTTATCTCCGTTCCTCTTTGATCCTCTAAACGTGACCTTTGAGCTCTTTTCAATCCCTCATACAGTTCTAAAAACAAAAAAAGTACATTAATAAAACCAATAAATCAAAATTTATACAATAACAAAAATCAATAAAAAATTTACCATCACCATCAAATCTTCCAGGTAATTGTAACTTAACACCATTCCGCCACTTAGCAATTAAAGGAGCATGCGACCTCGTAGTCTGAGTCGTTTCTTCAGCGCAATCAGAATGACTCTTTTCACTTAGATTGCTGCTCTTAGACTTAGACTTTTTCTTCCCCGACAGCGCTAAATCTCGGGAGAAAAATTTATTCGACAAAATTGACGAACTTTCTGATCTTTGGTCTTCTGACTAAATTACAAAATTTATTATTAATAATTTAATTATTAATTTTAATAAAAAATTAAAAATAGGTACTTACTTTACAAGAACCCTCGCTTTGATATTTATTAGCGCTTTTTCCGACTAATAATTCTTCAAATACTTTATTTGTAATTTCATCCAACGTTGTTTGTCCTTGAGGAATATTTTCTTGACATTTTAAAGCGTCTCGTTGAAAATCTGAAAAAAAAAAAATTAAAAATTTTTAAAATTAAATTTAAATTTAAAACTAAAAAAATTAACCTTTCAGTTTAAAATTAAAAAAATTTGAAATTTTAATTTCGCGCCAAAAATAAATTTTTCTGCCCTCCGGCCGGAAAGTGGCAACTTTCTGGTCGCTGCGCTAAACAAAGTTGCCACATTCCGGCTACGTCGAGCAGAAAAATAGTATACACACCTTGGCCAGTAAAAAGTAAAGCCTCAGACCACATGTTTGTCAACCTCGGCTTCGCCTCGGCCAACAATTACATGTGGTCTGAGACTTTTCTTATTTTACTGGCCTAGGTATGTAATATACTATAAAATTTAAATTTCGCGCCAATAATAATCTAGGTGTCACTGCTTGTTTTTTTTTTTAAATTACCTACTTAACAATCATGCCCGCTAACTAAAAAAAAATGGCGACGAGATTAATCTCCAGTTTTAAGTTTTTTTTCTCAATAAAAATTAAACTACTGTAATTTAAACTTTGAAACTTTACAAAATTACTCTCTTAGATGGTATTGACCGATTAGAAAAAAAATTTAGTAAATTAAAAAATTATTTAAAATAAAAAAATTTCACCTTCATTGTTAGACGTAAGAACTAGCCTAGCTGGAGCATTAATTGCTGGAATTTCCAGCGATATCGGGTGTCCGTCACCCCAGATGGTTATTAACTCCAACTTGAACCCATACTTGTTCAACAATGGCCTCAGAACTTCTCTAAGAGTTCGTCCTTTGTGCGCAACCACTGTGATTATTCGCCGAGACGGCAAATCAACTTTTAATACTTTTGCAGGTACTACTTCGACTTCTTGGCCTGCTAACACCGATGACGAGTACTTGAGATTCATCAGCTGTAATTGACAATTTTTAATTAGCAATTATTATTTTTTAATGACAACAAATCAATTTTTATGATTTGTTAATTCTAATGCAAGTGCAGAATTAAAAAGCGAGTTTAGGTATTTAAAATTCGTGCGTTAACACAAAGCCATGCAATTATTACAGTCCATTATTTATTATTTGTTTACTTATTTTGGTGACTCGCGAGTTTAATTAATTAATTATGTGCAATCTTTTTTTTTTTTTTTCAGTGCTTAAAATTTTTGATTGCAGTGTTGGGCAATTATTTTTAAATTATTTATTAATTGATTTATTTATTTAAAACTGACCTCGTCCGTGGCAAGTATGAGAACATCGTAATTGAGATATTTCAAGGCTCGCTTGTCTAGCAGACGTGTTATCACATCTTTAATAGTCTCGGTTTGACTTGTAGGGACTACTGTTGTAGATCCATCAGGTAAAATCACACGACACAGTCCCGTGCACTTGCTATGGGCCTCTTTTTTATCGTTCTGGCCATCGTATGACGCAACGGACTATAATTATTTATTTTAATTCACAAAAGCAAAAAAATACAAAAATACAAAAATTAGCAGACAGCTAGATAATTTTTAATTTTTTTTAAAAATAAAAATTTAATTATTTTTTTTTATGAAAAAAAAAAAAAAAACAAAATTGAATAATTTTTTTTTTATGAAAAAAAAAAACAAAAATTTTTAGATGTCTCTTTTTTTTTCAGTATTATAAAACAAGACAATATTAAATAAAAAAAAACACCAAAACACACACAGTTAATAATTTGAAATTTTTTATGAGCAAAATGCTAAAAACAAAATTAATTTTTTTAAATACTTACATGTTTGCTGAAAGATTGTCGGAGCGCCAGGTCCCAAGACGCTAATGAAGATCGACTGCTGGAAATTGATATATTGTCCTCATTATTGTTGATATTACTATTGTTGTTGTTATTATTATTGATATTGTGATTGGAGCTCTCGTCGCGTTTCATTGACGAAAAACTTTTGTACATTGGCTCGACGCGGGTTGGTATTTTGTTGTACTCACTTTCGCCCCTGTCTTTTGATTTGGACCTGAAAATTTTATTATTATCAATTTTTCATATATTTGTATTTATTATGTATATGTATATATGAAAAATATATAAAAAATGCATGTGGGTACTCAAATGAAAGCTCTTGATGAGTGTGACATCGGGATGAGCTTATATCTTTAAAATATATATTATATATGTTATGTAATTAAGAAATGACCTTGTATCTTGTGAAATATTAACATTTTTAAAGATATAAGCTAATCTCAATGCCACACTCATCGAAATCTTTCATTTGAGTACCCACATGCATTTTTAAATTATATTTTTGGATTTAGAATTGAAGATACGGAAAAATTATAATACTTTTGTTTTTATTTTTAATAAAAAAAAAAATTTTATTACCTGTTTTTTCGATTCCAAGGTAAAATAGACTTCCTACGTCTGTCCTCAGCATCCGAGTGGCTTTTTTTTAATTTAACACTCGGAGAATTGGTGAGAGATAAATCACAGTCTTCGGTACTTACAACGCTACTTCCAGTCTCTAAACAATTACGATATAAATCAGATCGCAGGAATCGGGGGTATGAATCGAATTTCATTAAATTGAATACTTGTTTTTGCGCCTAAGAAAATAAAATGATAAAATAATATTAAACAAAATAAAAATAAAAATTATTAAATTAAATTGTTTTTAATAAAAATATTTATTCAAAAAAAATTTTTATTTAATTTTTTCAAAAAAATATTTTTTTAACTAAATAAAAAAATTAGGGTAAATGCACCAGTTGTTGACCAGTCACCAATTAGTTGACCGATGTATAAAAAAGTTAATTAATTAATATTTTACAAGGGTTTTTTTTTCTTAAAGTATTAAATTAAAAATATGACATTTAATCATCATAATAAAAAATTACGCAATTAATTGCGCAGTGATTATAGCTTTAAAAAAATATTCTGAGTTTGTTTACAACGCAACCAGCCATAAAGCGGTCAAAAATAACTACCGTACAATTGGAGAGTGAGTGCATTT